GGCCAGAGTGCAGGGATGTCAGCCTGTTCGGCCAACACGTCTTTTCACCCTGAAGAGACCAAAGCAAAAAAAGCAAGGCTTCCTTTTTTCCCAAAAAAATGTCCTGAAGTTCGTGCAAACCTGGAGAATTTGTTTCTGCGATGGTCAGGGCCCAGCTCTAACACGCAGTATTCACCTTGTTGACAAAAATAAGAAACAACTGGCCAGAGATTGCACTGAGGTTGGAACTCAAACTAAGTCAATCTATGGAGCCTTTTGCTAGTTAAGAGTCTGCAGTCACATAAAACAGCAGCAACCCCTGAGATCATGTGTACTGGATTTTTCTTTGAACCTGTATGTGAGTCGCTGCAGAAATGTTCTACCAGTTTAAAAATAAAAAAAAAAAAAAAGAGAGAAAATATCTTTCATCAGTAGCTTTGCAACATCAAACTTCAACAATACAGAGAAAATGCAACTAATGGCGTGATCTTCCTGAGCTATTGAATTTCATGACCACAAAAATTGACTTCTGTAGAAATTCTTATTATATATTCTTATTATTTCATTATTTGCCAGAAATAATCCACTTGTTATCTGTTTTCTTAAAAAAAAATCTCTTTGTGATAATGTGGTGGCAACTAAGCTAGTGACAGAGAAAAAAGTGTTTAGTTTTGTTTTTTAGTTGAATTGTTATCCAAAAGAGTAATAATAAGAAGAAGAATATGAGAGGAAAAACAGCCCCACAAGCCCCACTTTAACTCCTAACAACAAAGAAATTAGATCAGGCAAGAGCCCTGGAGTCAGATTGGGTCAGAAAGAAGATCAAATGTCCATCTCCCCTGTGGAGCTTTGTAAGCACCACATCAGCACCACTTTTCACCACCAGCTAATACACCTAATGGACCCCACCATATAAAGGCTACTCTCTCTTGTGACTCTGTATGTGTGTGTACGTGGGTGTGTGTAAGAAACAGCTAGATCAGTGGAGAGACAGAGAAGAAAAACAAAGGGTGCCATACAGACAGGTTACAAACAGTTCAAAGGAAAGGAGCACTTAATGTAAAGTTTTCCTTCCATCTTTCAGTCTGACATGTGCGTCGCTTTCGTGCACTCCTCCCTTTAACTGACAGCATAAAAATGTCTCAGCTTCATGTTTGAATGAGCACCCCGGTCATATTTGCTTTACTTACTGGGTTTGGCCAATTAACATTTACATATTACTTTCAAGTCTGAACTGCGTGAAATCAGGATATGCACAAACTCACAGCGGTGCATGTCTCTGCCTGACTGTATTTTGTCCAGCTCACTAAATGCATGCTTGTTTTGCAGAATGTCCCGAATAGCAGCAGCACGTGTGTGATAACATATCTCAAAAATGTAATTTCTTAGGTGCAATTCGTTTGAGACGTTTATGATTTTGTAGAGCAACCTCTCTCTCTCACACAGATTATGGCAGTGGTGGGGTACAGGTTTCTTTCATACACACAAACTAAGACCCTGCCTTACAATAGAGGAGAGAACCAAACATTCAAAAGCCTGATTAATTTTCACCAGACCAATGCTGACAAGGCTCATTGCCACATGTATAAATCTTTTTGTTCCCCCTATTACGTGGCTTTCTCTGTTGCTGTAAAATAATGTCTACATGCAGCCTAGTTTCAGATGAATTATGTAGGTTTTATAAGACTGACATACCTGCACATAATAAAAATAATCACACAAAAAAAATTTAGGTCAGCTTTTACAGAATGGAAGCCCTGAACAAGCTATATATTGAAAAATGTGGAACAACAATTGTTCATTCCTCAACATAAAAGAGGGAATGGAAGTGAAAATGGCTTATTCTGGAGCTGACTTGGATTGTGAACTCTCTGCTGTTATTACCACACAGTTATTGTTTCTAGGCCTTAAATTCGACACCCTCCCACCCCGGGACCCATGCATTAGGGAGTGTTGTATTTTTAATATTTTTTTAGTTAATGCATGTAATAAATCAACTATTATCATTAATTATTTTGCACAATTGAAAAAAACATCCCCACAGCATTAGTAGAGATGAAAAAGGTAAAGAAAAAAGTTTAATTTCCACTTATGTTTATGTTACTTAAGCATGGCAGACTAAATCATTTGCCTCTCCTCTCTCCTCACACTAGCAGCAGATAATGTCATGACATGAAACTGAAGTGATCTGTTAACCTCACCACCACCAGGTCTTCCTGCTTTTCTGGTTGAAACCCAACTTTGCATCTTGTGCAGCTCCTGTGGTTACTGTGGTACTACACTTTTTCACCATCAAATATGAATTTTACTGTAAAAATACTGTTACATAGTGAAATTTAGGATAGAACAGATTATCTTTTTAACTATGTATATGAATGTTTTACACTCTATAAATACTTACTGATTTAAATTGCAAATACTGTCACTTTGTATTACAGTGCTACCATCCTGTAGTGGTTTATACATTTGTCTAATAAGGCAAAAGATCCCTGGTTTGAGCCGGGCTCGATGTCCTTTCTGACACAACCTGGTATGAAAATCTGCAAAATCAAACACGTGGAACAACCTGCTGTGGCAACACCTTGTGAATAAGGGAGTAGCTTTGCTGTAGTTTTATATTCCTAACTTAATGTTGTTCTCAATGCATTTCTAAAATCCCAAATTCAAAGTACCACTGGAACACTATGTGACCAAAATCCTCAAATCGAAATAAATGGCTCCCTGTCTGCACCAGTAAAATGAGCTGTCAGACCTCATTGAAATCGCTGCCAGTCTTCAGTATCAAAACGTCTTATTACTTCCTTCTTTTACCACTTTCTCATCCCTTCTCCTACCCATTTTCTCCCCGTCCTTCACTTTCTTTATTTCTCTTTCAGCTTTGCTAATTTGCAATTGATTAGCTGTCCTCTCAGTCAGCTCAGTCCCATGCTCGACATCCCTCGTACCCTCCTCCCTCCTTATCCCTCGCCCCCCCTTCCCCTTACCTCACAGCCTATCCTCTCCTCCATCCGCGAGTCAATTTCTCTTTAACGAGCATTGGTACATTTCACTCCCCGGGCACCGGGGCCCTTCTGTGTAAATAAAACACAGAGCAGAGTCAAAAATCAATGGGCCTATTACCCTCCGAAAATGCTAAACAAGCAAAATTAGCGGCTCGCTTGGTGGTGGAGGCCTTAATGTCCTTCCTACCCTCAGCATCACCACCACTAGCCCCCCTCTCTTCAATCTCAGCATCCACTCAGCAAGCCACATACTTTGTATCATCATATTGAATGCCATGGATAGAAAACACATATTTATGCCTGGGCATGTTGGTGTAATACTCAAAATCATTTGCTTCCAAAAGTCTCTCCCTCACACAAGGACAAAACATGCACCGCACACTGCTGGCAGAAATGAGGGATTCACTCTTCTGAGAGAAATCATTGGGCACCACACGGAGCTATAGGCCACATTTAACCGCTTTTTATTTCGCCTGCCTTGCCCATATAAACACAGCACACGCGCACACACAAACAGCAGCAGCCAGCAGGAATTTATAGTAGGGATCCCATATTTTATCAGACGAGTCTGATTAGTGTGGCAGTAAAAAGCTGCACGTGTGTCCAACATTTGCACGCAGAAATACACACGCGTACTGACAGAAACAAACACTAGAGCACACACAAGTAAATGTCTACATTGTAGGAGCACACGCACAATGTGAACAAATACACAAATAGCGCACACAAAACTAAATAAACAACGACAGTGTGCCTACAGACAAACACAGACCAACACACACAATCACACACGTGCGCACACACACACACACACAGAGTAAACATGTACAGTATGTACAGGCTGTTAAACATACACACGCGCGCGCGCGCGCGCATGCACACACACAGCAAAGTAAACACATGGTATAGACACAGAAACATACACACACACACAGAAAGACAAAGACCAACAACTTATCACTTCCACTCTCTCTCTCTCTCTCACACACACACACATACCCACGCGCACACAGCCACACACACTACACACACCATTTGTCTGGAAATGAATGTGTAGCTGGTTAGCTGTGGTTCATTTATCCTGGCAGCTGATGTGTGGTTAACAGAGACATTTATGCTAATGACCTTCCGTGTTTAAAAAAGGCAGCAATAATGTAAAGGCTCGTTAAAGGCCAAATCCTCGTTCGCTTGAGTCATTTTTCAGCCCATTTTCTTGTTCAATTAAACTGATGAAATTATTATTCGCATGTGAAATGACTATTCAACCTCACGAGGCAACCGACCGCTCGAAAATAGAACAGGGGACAAATGGATCAAATTCTTAAATGTTGGTGGCTGATGTTCTGGCCTCATCCTGGGCTGCTCCCGTTTCACTATGACTTTTACATTTCTTTACAATAATTCAGAAAGTTGCTAAACGTGTGCCGTGAAGGGAGTTTTTTTTAATGTGTAACTCATTTCTCGAGTTGGGAATTCTAATCCTGTTTTAGAAAATCACAAGCAATAAGAATAACATCATTTTGTGTGTAAATATCAACATATTGATAATGTAACTTGTTTTTATGTTGGAAATGCCACTTTTTCAGAGCACTTTGTAAACTGATAGCAGTCTTTGACATCCAGAAAAAGCAATAACTATACTTCAGCTGCGTTATCTGTATTATGGAAGCACATGACCCTGTCGCTGTCAAAGAAAATGGTGAAAGAGAAATGGTAAAGACCTCAAAAATATTCTTCCAGAGTATTACCAGCATGCTGGGACATTTTGAAAACTGAGATATGCCAGTCCTCTGCTTAAAAGCCATCCTATGTAATGGCGTGAATAAATTAAAGTGCCTACAAGTTTGCTGGACTTTGCCCAGTGAGATATTTAGAATTTAAAAGCACTTACAAATTGGAATAAAAGTCCCATTTCCATTTGCATCCCTTTTGTCACACAGTACAGCGGGGTTTACGTCAGATGTTTTGTTTTGTTGTTGTTTTTTTCCTTTTCATCATTTGAGTAAAAACATCTCTTACCTGCTTGTGCATCTCGATGTTCAGCCCGTACGACATTTCGTAGTACTGCAAGATAAAAGCAAGGTCGATCAAACATGTCTTCTCTGTTCCTCTTTTCACTCACACACACACACACACACACGCACACACACACCAATAAAATACTAATGGCAACACATGAAGTAAGCTGTCTCACCATGACATAGTGCCTCTGCATCTCAGTTTTCTCACTGGCCAGTTTCTCACATTCCAATTTCAGACTGCGAGACAGATAGAAAATGTTTTGTTAGCACGTGTCACCATCAAACACACAGCAAGCTGCATCCATGCCACACGCAAACACATGATCAAAAGTAAAACCAAAAGACCAAAAATCTTTTCTGACTTCTGACTTCTAATTGACTTATTTTGTAGGGAGTGGATAAAAGAGGATGAGCGAGAATGAAACATGACTTTAGCAAACTGAAAGCGGAGATGATACTTGCACTATACTGCGCAGGCAAGTCACTGCATCCTGCCACTTTAAATTTGCATTTCTAAATATGAGAGCTACAAAAGAAAGACAAATAAGTTGTTTGGATCGCAGCAATTTCCTCTGCAGACCCAGGCACTTACTCAGCAGGTGTAGTGCAGTAATTAATGGATCGATGGACAACCACACAAACCTCATCATATATTCTTATAGTGCGAGTAAAAGCCTAAACTGCAACATCAACAAAAAAAGCAACCATAACATTAGGATCCATTTTACGGTAAAGCTTAACTCTTTTGTGTCTGCCAGTGTATCGCTCCTCATAAAGTTTTTGTGCATGTTTTAAGAAGGAACTCAAAACGGTTTATATCATCATCGAAACCTTTGCGTGTACACTTCAATCGCAGCAATGTAAAACATGAAAAGAAATGAGAAATTTCAACATTTGCTTAAATATAAATGCTGAAATCAGCTGAAAATCTGGGGCATTGCCAGACGTTAAATGTTTAATACCTCAACTTTATTTAAGTTTGATGGTGACGGTGTCCTCTTCTTTATTTGTACTCTAAGGTTGGGGAATATTCTCAAAGAGATTCATGGTTTTAGTAAGGTCCATAACATGTTTACATTTCTTCTAAATAAGAACTACCGTAATAATAAATACTAATAAATTCATCCTTAAAAAACATGAAACATGTGGGACCACAGTAATTCTTATTGTAGCGTATTCCCAGAGTATGTCTGACTCACTGCTATTTAAAAAAACGAATAAATAAAATCTGATCAGCGCCACCCTCGTTTTGGATTGCACTGGAACGAAAGAGTTTGATCTGTGCGGCTGTAGCATTAAGCATGCAGCGCACCATTCAGCCAGTTCAGCCTCAGGACTGGCCAACAAACTGGACCACTGGTTCATCTCACCAGGTGATTGGGTAATAATTATGAGGTGGCCAGAAGTGGGTGATTATTATGCATTGGTATTGTGCCTGTGGTTCAGCCCTGAGCAATGTATTTCACACTTCATCATGTCAGGTAAAAAAGTATTTCACACCACTTGCACTTGCAGAGAGAGAGAGAGAGAGAGAGAGAGAGAGAGAGAGAGAGAGAGAGAGAGAGAGAGACGTGCATGCAAAGGTTGATGGGGGTTTACCTGTGGTTAGTCACTAGTAAAAGATAGACCTTAGACAAATACAGGCTACCACTGTTTTAGCTGTATATGGTGCATTTGAGAGGAATAGCAATATAACATCCCTGAATATAAATGTCAAACTCAACATACTGTATTTCTTAATCGAAACTTAAATTTAAAAAATACATTTCTGTCTTGTATTTCATGTTCTTGCATCACACATTTCCCTAATAATTTGGTCATACTTCGTGACTCATACATGACTAGTACACAGCAGCACAGAGCTCGACCATTTCTTTAACATTATCTCGGGTTTTTCGGTTTACAGTGTGAGTCAATCCACAGTCAGTCAATCAATTAATTCTTTTAGATTTATTATTTCTTTAGTTAGCATTTTCTGTGTGTGGATGGGGGGGGGGGAGGTGGTCACTAGTATAAGCTCCTGATATCCAAGGTGACTTAGGGTTAGGTTTCAACTGACCAAAAGTGCAAGAACCAAAAGGTAATTAAGAAGAAAAAAAATATTATAGGTAACATTTAATAATCTAAAACCAAACGTATTTATTAATTATTAATTGTGCATTTTACATGTAAACATTTTTTAACATTTAATTTTTTTAAATTCCAGCTATTAAAGTGATTAATTAACCCACTAATTACTTCCAATGCGCACTCAGAACAACAGGGATCAAATTCGCAATCGCTTCTATTGTGGGGAATGCAGAACGGTTCGTAAGTTTACTGCCGTTCTGGCTGATGAGCTGATGTTTCAGTGCAGCCCAAATGTCATGCTCGTATCCGAAATCCTACCTGTGATACTGCGCTTGCAGGAACTGGAACTCCTCCTTGATCCGGTCGCAGGACTCGGTGACAGTGAACTTGAACGGCTGTCCCGGCTGATGAGGGACCTCAATCCAAAGCAAACAGCGTGCGAAGGAAGAAAGGAAGAACTGAGCCACCAAAGTTCAGCGTCACGACACACACACAGGCAGGACTGTAGCTGACAATAGGCCTCTGTGATAAGGATGGCCTTTTTGGTTTCACTCAGTCTCCTTACACGTTAACTCACGCACACTCAGAGACACACATGCAGCTGTGGCAGTTTGACAATGAGCGCAATTGTCCGTGAGAGCGCGCAGTGGCACGGAAACTTGATCTAAACTGATTACGCATCAGGCGCGACTGTTAATCTGCGCTGTTTTGACACACTGCTCTTACCGCTACTGTTCTGTACTTACCGGATGCCGCGCCGGGGGGTACATCTTGCTCAGATCTCGAATCATTGAAAATGTATTGCAATGTTCATCCAGAAAAACACGAAAACAAAGTGTGTGAGAACCGAGCTTTCTCCGTGCGTAAAAAGTCAGTCAGTGGCTGGTTTGCGGGCTAAATGCAGGTTCCGCGAAGAGTGGAGACATCCTCGGACCTTTGGCTGACCAGAGACAGCAAGACAGTAATTCAAAAGTCCATTCAGCGTAATAATAAAAGCAAAAATTGTCTCAGTCTTTTCCAAAATCTCCAGCACCTTATTCTAAGCGCTTAACGTTCTCCTTCTGAACTAACAACAAATCCTCTATCTTCTCAGATTTCTCACAGAAAACATTAAAATCTCGCACACCATGACCCTACTTGTCTGCGAGTACGCTTCTCCACAGTGTCCCGTTGTCACGCGTTCATTGGTTTATTTCCTACAGTCTCCGTTAAAGGTTTGCATCCTCATTCAGCACCCGCCGACCGACCACCTCTCCGACTACAGCAGCCTGCCTCCGCGACGCCAAATTTAGAAGCAACCAGTCGTACGAGCTCAATTACATATTCACTACAATTACAAGGACCCGTAGCACGACGTCGGGACGTGTAGTTTAATTCATATTAGTCGATAATAAGCCCTACAGATGTGCGTCTGCTGTAAAGAACTACAACTTCCCAGCTCCTTCGCGAAACCCCCAAAGCCAATGGTGTGTGGTCCGAGGGAGGAGCGGCCATTAAAGCCAGCCAATAGCGACAGAAAAGTATACACGCTCCGTTGCACCCCCCTGCCAATCATCTATAAACTATCCAATCACATCCAGCAAGACGCGATTTATGCAGACCCCCACGTGGGGGCTGCTCTGGTACAAAAGGATGTCACAGGGATTAATCTGAAAACTATCTGTTGACTTATGTGTTCTTTTTTTTCTTTCCTTTTTTCCAGAGACTTTGGGGCAGAAGCGAACATATGGCCCCTTGGTCTCATGTTTTTTTCCTGTTTCCTAATTGAATCACCTATTAAACAGTCTACTATCATGTCCGCAGATTGCACCTATAACCCTGCAATTAAATTCTCATGCAGCCCCCTCATCTCTCACTTCACATTATGTAAATCACACAGAGGGTGGACAAATAAAAAACTGATTATGTTAGAGCCACAAAGGTGGCATCAATATCAGGCTGGATGTCAATTAGCAATTCAGCCTGTTCTATTTGGAAAAAACATTTACACAAATTTCTAATTTTATGTTTTTTTCTTTTAAATGAAGTTTTTAACTACATAATAACAATCTGGTTGGTTATGGTCGGGCTGTTTTTAACTTCGTCTGCATTTAAACATTTAACAAATTTTAGAAATCCCTCAGATCTCAACTTGAAAAGTGAGTAGCATCTGTGACTGCCAGCTAAAATATACCGCAGGCAAACGAAATCTGGTGAAGTGAAATCATGATGTCAGTACTTTATGTACTTGAGTTGTCTTTGGCTTCTGATTATGGCTGGAAAATGCTGCTAATACACATTTAGGCTCCCACCATTCTTTCGTTTTTTCAGTCTCTTTTTTGTGATCTCATGTCTCAGACAAATTCCTAATCCTAAATGCTAATCCTGCTGATTTCAGCATACACTCTAACATACAGCACACATGTGACATTATCCTTTTTTTATAAGTACAAGCAGGGCGAATGCATTTTATGTATTCCATACGTGTGCACTGCTCAGATAAATGCCACCTAAAAGAGCTTGAATCATTTGCCTAATTTCTCTGCCCTTTACGTAGTACAACCCAAATGGAACACCTCTTGCTAAGTAAATTGAAATATTATGACTAACACACACACACACACACACACAGAGTTGACACCATTTATTTTGAGCGAACAAGTGCATATAGTCTGTCAGCCTGCATTTGTGGCTGTGAGAAGATGTTCAGTGTGGGTAGATGAAACACACTGTTGCTGGGTCAGCAGCTCTCTTCACTGCTGCCTTCGGTCATTTAGCAGAACTAACTGACTGTGTCCAGAAATCTTAATCATTTTGTGCTGCATTACACTTTATATTTCATGTCCCTTTCTCTGAATTTATCATTACCCATTAAAGCTATTTAGGATCACATTTGCTATAATGTGTGTGTCTGCTTCACACGACACAATAAAATACATTTCAGTGCTTCAGTGGTATATGTTGTAATGTTACTTCTATGATTAATAATAATATTTGTTCAAACATGCTAACAGGTGTATGAATTACTATCCACAATGTGACACCACATCAATCCACTTTCCTTGTCTGTCTGTCTGCTTCTGTCTTGTCTGTTGTCTCTGCCTCTCCCTCAAACATACATGGGATTGTGCGCACAGACACACACACACACACACACACACACACACATCGCCTCAGCCATTCAAATACACATCTCTATCTACCACACATACAAACTAATATCTCAGGTAAGCACAGAGCCTAAAGTGACCTGCTGTCGCGGTGCGTGAATCCACCAAGGCTGTGAAAAGGTAATATCATGCCCTCCCTCTTTTCTCCTCCAAGGGTTGAGCCATGATGTGGACGAGCAGAGGAGGTGCAGAGGTGAGGGAGGGGGGCGGGTGAGGAGGAATAAACAGATTTATTTGCCTGTGCCCCTCTCTGATTATTTTGCCCCTGCCTTTTGTTCCAGACCTTATGAAACCCAAATGTCAAGTGAGGCGAGGGCCTCATATCGAGTCCTGTCAATCACGACCCTCTGCGCACCTGAAGCTCTGACGCCGGATTATTGGCTTCAACACAGGGGCTGCCTATGCCGCCAGGCACGATGCCTCAGACGATTCGACAGCCAAGGCTCTCTCTTTTTTTTTTTTTTCTAAAGAGGAACTTCATTTGGCAGCTGATGCACAGGAGATTGCACAGGAACGGATTTTGAGCGTAGATGGGTAGCAAGCTGGATGCTGGATGTCTGTGTGTGTATGGAGAGTGGCTTATACAGGGAGGGGGGATTAAGGGGGAGGCTTGACATGGTCTGTGGTGGGGAGTGGGTGGCGAGGAAACCCGACCTTAACATCTTGCTCAGTGCACTGATCCCAACTATCAGTACCTGTACATATGTCCCTCCCTCCTTCTCACTGTTGCACACACGCAGATGCACACACATCGCTGCCTACTGCTTCTGCTTATCTTTAATATTATACTCCCTCACTATTACTTTTCAACATCGTGCTCTTACAAATACAGACCACTGGTCGAGGATAGCATATCCTTGTTTAGCTTTCCATGCAGCATATAAAGACTAGATGAGATCTTTGTGTACACTCAGAAAATAAAGTATCTTCCACTACATTTGGGAATATACCAGCTGATCACCATAGCTTTACCCTTTAAAGTACTGCCATTGTAAGCTTGTAGTTTGTACCAATCTTTTATTTCAGGGTACAAAAACAGAACGTTTAAAAAGGGTGCATCTTTAATTTTATACGTCCTGATCCATCAATAACCCTGACACGGCTGTCCATGAAGTTATTGTAGACAAATAATCACTAATTAAGGTGGTTGCCTGTGTGAGGAAGCCAGAGAAAACTAAACAGGCACAAATAGAACAAAGCTCAATACAAGATACAAGAAAGATACAGAATGGCAAATGTCAGAATTTATTGAATGTTTTTAATTTAACTTAAAGAAACAGGAAAATCTTCTCGTAGGGACAGAAATTGGTTTTCACTTTACTGCTATTTACGTTTAATAATGTGTGCCACATCAACTTTAAATGGTGCAGAAGGTGTCGTTTAGGCGAGACTCCTCAGCAAGCGCATTAAAAACTAATTATCAGTCAGGCTACATCGATTGCTGTAAACTCCACATAACATGGCAGCACCAGCATGGGCTCATTATGATAGCAGCTTCAGTGTGTTTCACTGGACACCAAAGTTTTGTGAAACTACAAATTAAAACACAAACAACACAGATTTTCATACCCGAGCTAATGATTTAATGTTATATACGACTAATAGTGTTTTGTTGCATCAATGAAATTAACAAGTAGAAGTCACACACACACAGCTCAGCAGAGAAGAAAGCGATGTATACTCGTCATTGGTGCAAAGGAAATGTGGGCTTATTTTAGTGCTCATATACAAAAGCCTAATGGACTATCTCCTAACTATTTATCTGGTTTGTTCATTAGTATGCTCCTTCTAGATTTGCAAGAACTTGTAATTTTGGTCTCTAAATGTTCCCCCGAGAAGAACAAAGATGTATGGAGATGTTCCAGTTTTGATTTATCTTCATGTCTTTCTATTATATTCGTATTTTGTTTTTTATTCTCATGTCCTGTTTGTTACTTTTTTTGCAATTTTATTTGTTTTTTTTAAACTGAAATAGCTGACACAAAGCTTCTGGGTGTGTTCAATGGTCAGCTGAGTGGCACTGAGAGTCTGTGTTATTAGGCCATGACAACTCAAGAACGACAATAGATGCCTGCGCACTCTGCGATGTAGCATCTCACAATATACTAAAGAATTTGTTCGCTTTTAGTTAGTACTTTTATTCCTAACTTGTTTGGTTAACATTGTGGATATGAAAATAGAAAATAAATCAGGAAGAGCAGAAGATTTGTAAAGAGTAAGTGAAGGCAGTTGTGAAGAGGCTAAAGAGTAGAAAGGAAGTTGGTCAAGATGACATACCTGTGGAGATATGGAGATGTCTAGGAGAGAGGAGTTTTTGACCAGATTGTTTAATGCAATCTTGGAGAGTGACAGGATGTCTGAGGAGGAAGAGTACTGGTACCAATTTTCAAAAACAAGCTTTATCACTCATCAGTAACTACAGAGGGATAAAGCTGATGAGCCATGACGTGAATATATGGTAAAGAGTTGTTGAAGTTAGGCTGAAAAGAGAGGTGATAAAAAGGACTACAGAAACGATGTCTGCTTGGAGAGTGTTGATGGAGAAGCACAGAGAAGGTCAGAAGGAGTTGCTCTGTCTCTCTGTGGATCGAGAGCGTGCACATGATAGAGTGCCAAGAGAAGACCTGTGGTACTGCATGAGGATGTTAAGAGGGCAGAAAAGTATGTGAGGCTGGTGCAGTACATGTATCAGGACAGCGAGACAGTGGTGATGTGTGTGATAGAAGTGACAGATGTATTCACGATGGGGGTGGGATTACATCAGGGATCTGCTCTGAGCCCCTTCTTGTTGGCTGTGATGATGGACAAATTGGCTGATAAAGGTCAGGCAGGGGTCTGTGGAGTATGATGCTGGCAGCTGACATTGTGATCTGTAGTGAGAGTAGGGAGCAGGTGGAAGATGGGAGCAATGGCAGGTGGAGGAATCTGATGGAGAGAAGAGGAATGAAAATCAGCAGAAGAAAGACAGCGTGTGAATGCACGTGAGTGAGAGGAAGGCAAGTTTACTCGTGAAGATCCAAAGAGCAGAGATAGAGGTGGATGAATTTAAATAAATACCAGGGGTCAACATTACAACCATCCAAAGCAACAGACAGTGCACAAGAGAGGT